TCTATAAAAAGGTACCACCACCAAGCCCAGGTGCATGGGTGCTCCCAGGACCCTGGACACTCCATCAGTTGGATCAATGCTGGAACCAGGACTGATGATCTCTCCTCCTCTCTTCCACACTCTGTGTAATTTACTAATAAAACTTTATAAGCTTTCGTGGACCTTCTGACTTTAGTCATTTCTTTCGTCTGCAAGCGTCTACAAATCTTGGGTGCTCCCTCCCCCTTATGGGTGGGAGGGACCTCAACTAGTTCAGATCACCACCTTCCTTTTTTTTTTTTGCAGAAGCGGTAACAGGTACTTTAGATGACAAGAGATAAGTTACCCTCAAGGTAACAATACCTAATGAAATCCTATTGAACTGTGCTCTAGCACATTATCAACCACATCAGACTGAGTCTCAGTATCTTGCAGGTTTCTCCAACCAAAAGGGCACAATAGAAAAGCCCTAGCATTCAGCTTAAAGGATGGGGAGAGTATTTGGGGGAACTGTCACGTGTTCCTCCTGTTTTTACTATTTTTTTAAGTATAACCTAACTGCTGCTAGAAAATGCTTACCAGATGGACTGCTGGTCTGCCCCAGCACAGCCATTCCAACCACTGTACCCTGAGGGTTGCTCACATTTAAGTGAACAAGTGTTTCTTGTTCCAGCTACGTATTTCAGTTTCAACTTACCACTGGCTTTAGCCTGTGGAGGGTGGAAGGAAGGACAGGTAGCCTGGGAGAAGCAGAGATTGTCCAAGAAGACAAGGATCACGTTAGGAAAGCTAAAGCGCCAATAAAATTAAATCTGGCCAGGGGCATCAAGGGCAACAAGAAAAGCTTCTATAAGGTGGCTTCTTTGCCACCAATATGGAGCTAGACAAACTTGAGAAGTGGGTCCATGTGAACTTCATGAAGCTCAAAAAGGCCAAGTGCAAGGTGCTGCACTTAGTGTAATCCCACACATGAATAAAGACTGAGAGAAGAATTCAGTGAGAGTAGCCCTATCGAAAAAGACTTGGGGGTTCTTGTGATAAAAGCTGGACGTGAGCCAAGAGTGTGCACTTACAGCCCAACAAGCCAAATGCATCCTGAGCTGTATTTGAAGAATCATGGCCAGCAGGTCAATAGAGGTGATTCTGCCCTTCTTCTCTGCCCTTGTGCCACCCCACTAATAGTACTGCATCCAGAACAAGAAGAAATTCTTTACTATGAAGGTGATGAGGCAATGGAACAGATTGCCCAGAGAACCTGTGGATACCCCATCCCTTGAAGTGCTCAAGGTCTGGTTGGATGAGGCTCTGAAACCACCTGAACTAGCTCCTGGCATCCCCATCCATGGAATGGGGTTGGAACCTGATGATCTTTAAGGTCCGTTCTAGCCCAAGTCCTTCAAAACTTCTATGATTTCTATAGGTATGTGGGTGATAAAAGGAAGACTAGGGAAAACGTGGGCCCTCTCCAGAGGAAATGGGAGACCCGGTTACCTGGGACACTGAGACAATGAAGAACTACCTGCTCTATGCAAAAATCAGGTTAGAGACCATCCAAGGAACCTGAAGGTGCCCAAGTTCATTGGACCTGATGAGGTCCTGAGGGAAGTGGCAAAGGAAACAGCAAAGCCACTAAACTTGAGAAGTTGTGGAAGTTCCCAGTGATTAGAAAAGGGGTTACAACCACCATTTCTAGAAAGGGAAATGAAGACCCAGGAACTACAGGTCAACCACTCGCACCTCAATGCCCAGCAAGATCATGCAGCAGATCCTTCAAGAAGCAATGCTAAGACACACAGAAAGTAAGGAAATGATTTGTGACAGCCAACATGGCCTCACCAAGTACAAATCATTCTTGACAAATTTGGTGGACTTCCACAATGGGATTACATTTCACCTCCTCATCATTCTTTCCATTGGTTTTGAAGGACTCTGAATGC